TGCGTGCATCCGCGAGCTGAATGCTCAGCTTGTCGACCTGCTTGGCTGCCTTTTTGGCACGGCAAACGGCCTCATCGCGCTCACCCTGCAGCATGCACTTGCCCCGGGCCCCATCCTCGATGATGGCCAGCTTGCGGCGCAGCAGCTCCAGATGCAGATCGCGGCGCTGCACCTGCTCGCGCAAAACGCGTACGCGACGCTGCAAAGTGTACACGCTGCTGCTCTCCTTGAGCGGCAGATCATGGCAGGAGCGCTCGCGTCGCAGCTTGCCCTGCCCATGCTGATGATGATGATGACGCGGATGATGATGATGGTCACAGCAGCCCTTCTCCTGGCTAACCACAGCCAGCTCGTGCTCACAGTGCGCGGCCAGATGCTCGGCACGCTCCAGCAGACTGTCAGCCATGAGATTGGTATCGGCGCCCAGGGCAGGCGGCGCGGTGCACTCGCTCCAGTTGAGCGCATTGGCCAGCCGGTGCAGGTAGTCGGCCAGGCCCATGTGATCCTTGCGCAGCGTGTGAATCTCCGCATGGCATTTCTCCAGGCGCTCGGCCAGCTCGCATTTCTGTGCCTCGCCAGAGCGCAGACGGCACTCGTTGGACTCGTGTGCCTCCTTCAGTTTCTCGTGCTCGCTGCTCAGCTGAGCGCGCAGCGAGTGCAGTTGCTGCGGAAGAAACGAAGCGAGAAAGTTAGAGAGTGAGCCAGGCGGAATCCGGAGAGATACTTACCGCCTGCAGGCCCTGATTCTCGTCAAGTAGCTCGCGCAGCTTGTCCTTGATCAGCGTCTCGCAGGGCTCGGGCACATTCACCAGATGGCTGAGACCGCGCAGAAACTGGAGCCGATCGCTCTGGATGCGATCCAAATTGTTCTGCAACCGATGACAGCGCGACTCGAAGCCGCGCAGCTCCTCCTTTAGCTTCTCGCCGTTGATCTCCGACTCGGTAAGGCGATCCCGTTGCAATTGCAAGTCCCGCTCGTATTGGCGGCAACGCCCCTCCAGCTCGTGGTTGTGATTCCCGGCGCCGTCCAGTTGGGCGCTCAGACGCTGCTTCTCGATGTTCGCCAGCGACTTCAGGTTGAGCAGCTCGTTCTCGCAGGAACTGAGCGTGTCGCAGGTGGACTGCACCTTGGCCTTGGCGCGCTGCAGCTCGAGCACCAGCTCCTCCACTCGGGATACCACGCACTCGGGCGTGACATGTCCAGCCTGGCTCTCGCACACATCCAGGCCCAAGCAGGCGCTCAGACGGCGCAGCAGCTCGTGCAGCTGCGCCTTGGCCTGCTCCTTGTGCGACTCCTCGCTGGTCGCATGCTGCTCCAGCTGCTGCAGCTTGCACAACAGCTCCTTGTTGCGCTCATCCGAGCTGCGCCTCTCGCGCTGCAGAGTCTGTATGGTGGCATCGCAGCGCGCCTGAACCGACTGCTCCCGTTGCTCGGCCGACTGCAGGCGACTCTGCAGGGAGGCTATCAATGCCGTCTGGCGTGCCGCCTGCGCACGCAGATTCTCCACATCCGATTCGCGACTACACAATGCGCTGCGTGTCTCCGCCAGCTAAACAATTTGATGGGATTAAAGCCAGCTTTAGGCTAACCTCTGCTAAATCTTAATGCTTACCTCGCCAGTGAGACGCTCCTTTTTGTATGACAAGGCGGCCAATTCACTGCGCAGTGTCGTCGTCAAATCGATCCCATGATGATGCTCTGTAACTGTGATCCCCGCATTGCCGCACGAACTGTCCAGCTGAAAGACAGAAAGCACAGCTTGAGTCTTACTTGGAAGAAGCAGCTACCCAATCCGAAACTTGATGGCTTAGACTGTAGCATGGGTACAAGCCCAACAAGAATTTATCGGTGGTTGGGCTTACGGTTGAAATTTCAACCGGAAAACTAAATAAGAAAACAAGAATAAGATTTGTTCGGTGCTCGGGTTCACGGTTGGAGCCTGATTTTCCCGGTAGCACCTCGCCTCTAGGCTTAATTCCCGAACCTGAAAGACAACCTTCAATCCTTGGATTGACTAAATCCCTTGGAGAAGCCGTCGTGTCAAGCGAAGCTAATCTCGCTAACTAGTAGACCTTAAGTTTTGTCCAGAGACAATTAGGAACTGAAAGTTCACTCTCAACTGAATAGCTCAAACTTCCTTATATGCTCTGCTCTGATATCGTACCAAATGATGATGATGCGGAGACAGACCACCACTGAGGCCCAGATGATGGTGATGCAGATGATTATCACTGGGCATATTTTGCACGACTTCCAAATTAATATGCCTTTTGTATGAACCAATCGAACCGTTCAATGAAAGCGCTCGACAGCAACTGAACCCGCTGACAGGATTTCCTGGTGCAAGCGATGCGGCATTGACAACAGCCTAACAACTGGGAATTTACCTCAACATAACATCACACCAGATATATAACTACAAGGCTTGTGATTTATGCTCGAGCCAGGTCGAACGGGTCGGCAGGGTGGCGACATAAGTGAAAACGAGCTCAATGGCATTGCGAGTGGCAAATCCAGGGAGTTCGGAGCTCGGCCACCAAACCAAACTTTTCTCAGTTTATTTTCTGTTATTTGGGTCATTCACATGGCAAATGCAATTCAAGCGAATCAACGCACGCACGCAAGCTGAGATACATGGAAGAACTCCTTCCTATATATAAATATAGAGAGGGAGCTCGGAGCACAGTGTAAAATGGTTGTAAAGTTTTTTGTGGTACTTTTATCCAAGCGGAAACGGAAACTTAGGTGTGCAGGTTTTGGCTTGGCTTGCAATTTGTAAAGTTGTCTGCGTTTTGGGTAGAACAGTAGCTGGAGTAAAATATTAAGAACGAAAATCGTTTGATAAATAAATAACATTTTGGCGCTAGCTGCGAATGGTTTTCATTTTGCTTAAGTTTAGAGAGAAAGCTCTTAAGCAGGTTCAAGCCAAGCGGTTAGAGCCGGGCTCGAGAGAACTCTATTAACAAAAAAAATTAAGAAACAGTTGCAAAACTCAGCTCTTGTCAATTTAAATGTATTGAATTAGCGACCTCTTTCGTAAGCCTCAGCGACTTGGAACCCAAGCTTTGCATTTTTCCAAACATAAGACAGTGCAAATTTTAACCCTGTTCATATAACAAACATATTATCGATTCAATACATTCAAGCCAGGCTTTCTTTACTCCCGTCAGTTCCTCTGACTCTTTGCTTTTACTCCTCTCCGTCTGTAGAACAATCAAAATTCTTTTGATTTCCAACCACTGTGCAGCTACATTTTATGCAAATCGCTTTGAATCATCGATAGTTGCCCAGGCCCAAAACACAACAAAAAACTTTTTGAGCCCTAACAACCGCATAAATTTCACACCAAAACAACAAATGAACAGAGAACCAAAATAAATGCCCTGGTAGGAACATATGAATTGGGTGCAACCGACTGTTTCATACTCTGTTCACAGTATTAAAACATATTTAATTGGTAGAAAAAGGGCTACTTGACTATTCGGCTTGTTGAATCGGTAGAAAAAAGAACTACTTGATTATTCGATTTGGGGACTCTAAAACTGTAACTCTCAGTGACCTTCAAACTGTGACTTCAGAAACTGACGTTTATTCCACTTTGTGGGACGCAATATTTCTGCTCGATTTTTCATGGAGTAGCTACCAAATATTTTATCTAAATCTATGGCAGACATGGATTTTCGAGCTTCTTCATGGACATGGTGAACCTATTATTTTTCAGAATCTTCAAAATTTTACAATAAATGTAAATCTTTCGAAATTGTAACAAAAACTATATACTTTTCTTAATTTGGTGTACAGGGTATAGAAAGTGCTAGCAAAAAGTTTTGCTCGTTGATAAGGCAGCACTGCGAATATGTGCATAGCTCGCTCGCATTTGGCAAGGAAGTTACATTGAACGCATAAGCATATGCATCTATATATCAGATGGTTTTATTACTTAGTTATCGAATATGTTCTTCGTGGCATAATGGCAATTTGTCACATGATTTTAGGCAATCAACATGGCCAAATAGCGTCACATTAAAGTCAGGCAAAGATATCGCCAGAACTTACCAGAGGGCAGGAGCGTGCAGCGGTTGTCAATGGAGTTGGAGCTGGAGCTGGAGCTGGTGGCGACATTGGCAATGAGCCAGACTCAGACGATGACTTTTCACACAGTAGCTCAAAGACATGCCAATCCTCGGGCGTATTGCCATCCGTGTCGGGCCGCAGATTCGCCGGCATTCCGACTACAAAAAAAGCTAAAATAATATTTTATGTTCAAAGGAACGCCCGAGTTTCTAGCTGCTTTTCGACCGTGTGGAATTTCTACTAGTAGTATTCTCTATATTTGCAAACAGAACAAAATGCTAACAGCCTGGCAACAGTCTAATGCTCGAAAGGCTATGCGCCTACCAGTTGCCAGGCGCATAAATAACGATACATAAGACCCCAAAATGGGCGGGGTCTCTAAACACGTGGGCGTTACTAGGGCCCGAATCAAGTGGAGCCTATGCGCTTCTAAGCGCAATCCAGCTAATATAACAGGCGTGCTTTAGACAAGAGTGCCCGACTGATACCCTCTTAAAAACTGTGAACTTCTTTCTGCAACATCATACACAAATTCGGTCAAGGGTCGGTTACCCTTCCTAAATAACTTTATAACATTTTTCGGACTCAAATATGGCAAACAAACGCGAAAGGTTCTACCTCAGGAAATAGAGTTTTCTCCGTTGTGTAGGGAAATGGAAAAGGTATTCAAAAAGTGAGAAAAATTGTATCTTAGTATACTTTACCTACATACTAAATTCTATCTATCTATCTCTCTCTCTCTCTCTCTCTCTCTCTCTCTAGTATTTATGAGCTCCGTAATCGATAATTATCGATTGCCTGAAACTGGGGTAATAGTTAATACCCGATTCTACATTTCGCAAATTAAATAAAATAATTATATATAGTTATATATCACTTTTCTCAATCGATCTAATACTTTCCAACGATCTTACTGTATACCCCTGATAATACTCCTGCCTCTGCAAATCGAATGAGTACAGGGTATAAGCACGCACAACAATTTCGCTGTTTTGACAAATGCATTTGGTAAATGTTTGCACAGAGTTTTTTGGCTTGACTTTGATTTCGATGTGGGAGTCGACAACGAATCCCTTTTTTTGGCCAATTTGTGTTGAAATTCTACTTTTGAGGGTTCCGCGGCCTGAGAATTTGAACTTTATTCCTGTTATGGGCTTGTTTTGGTTGCCAACACAGGTTGTTTTTTGTAGCTTTTTGTTCTTGGCATTGCTAAGAGACTTGAAATTTGTATGAATATTACTTCTTTTTCTTCTTCTTGTTCTTGCCGGGCGAAACACCTCTTCCGGTCGATAATTTACTCTTTCGAGAGCCCAGCTAATTAATGGGACAAATATATCAATTATTTATAAAATAGTATGCTAAATGAATAAATAGTTGCAATCCTTACCGATTTTGTGGAGCGCCGCGTCTTTGAACGACCTTGTGCTCCTTCCTCTTCGCTACCCAGCGCAAGTACCTCCAAGACTCGGGCTTTAAACATTTCCACTTGTTCCTTATAAAATTTGAGATCATCCTTGGCCTTAATCCATAGATTACGCGTTATATTGCACTCGAGCTCGGCCGCCTCCAAATCCGTGTCGAGCCGCTCCTGCCATGTGACAATTGCCGCCCTATAGCTGTCTACCTGATATTGGTATACGAAATCGACGAAACCAAATGTCTCTTTATTATGTTTTATTTCACTCAGCAGCTCATTCATCTCATCCAGATAGACGTTCTCCTTGGACTGCAACCACATCTGATGCTGATCCCCACAGCTGCGCAGCCAATTGACCCGATAGCGCATCTCTATAAGCATTATAGCTGAAATAATAATGATATATCATTTTCAGGTAGTTGTAATATCCAATATAAAACAGTCCACAACTTGCCATCAGCCTTGTCATTTTCGGCTACCATTCGGGAACCGAACTGCGACTCCAAGCGAAATGAGCTTCCGTGAGCAATTGTAGTCAAATTCTTACGAGTAGCGCGCAGCTGTTCCAGTTCCGCTACCCAGGCTGAGTTCACCTCATAGTTCGATTGGCTAAATTCGTAGGGAATTGGGAAATATATATATATGTAACAGATTATGTATTGAATCGGGCACGATAAGATATTAACATGAACAGATCCTTAAGACGAAATACTCAAACCTAGATACTAACTAAATATTCGGGACGAGTAATCTAATCATGATTGCCCGACGCGAAGATACCTTAAACTTACTTAACAGTTGCGTCTCTACCTCTAATAATATTGATGCTTTACCAGGAAATCGATATCGATTTCTCATAAACGGAACTAGGAATAAACTTAATCTGCAGGCAATAGGTTGACCTAAGTTCAAAGTAATCTCTGGGATTACACGTGCGCACAGATGGACGAACATGTCTAGGTCTATACGGTATATCTAGATCTATTCGGAATACTCTTGATGAATTTGCAGTCATCTAGAACCAAGAACCAGCCATCAAGCCAGGCCACTTACTTCAATAGCTCTAGAGAGCTTGCGCAAAAATCTTTTTCCGAAAAAAAGTCCATCCTGATAGCTTGGAGTAGTCGTATAATTTCCTTAATGTCAATACAAAATTTGGCACAATCCAAATCATGCTTCGTCCTCTCCATGGCTAACACATCCAGATACAGTTGGTTGATTTTGATGCGGGGTAAGAAATGCTCGAAAGACCAATGGAAGAGCTTGTGCGGTATTTCGTCGACTTCACCTGGCCATATATTTAGGATCGTGTCGATTTGTTTTCTTAGCCGAACCGAGAGAAACTCGATGGCTGACTTTTGAAACTGATAGAGGCAGGCCTTGTATAGCACCTGCAAGTCTTCCCATGTAAGCAATGGTCGGAATTCAGTTACATCCACACTTTTAATCGTAGCTCGATGTCCCTGCAGCATCCTCATTATGGCCATTCCCTCTGCCGTTACTGATGTGTGATGATATTGAATCGAAGACTTTCTGAGAGACTCATCTTCCCTGTGTTCAATGCTTTCAAAGGGTTTCAGTAGTGTCTTAAGAAATTGATCGCGACAGATGGTGGGATCCTTATGCGGTGGCAAGGGAAACGGAATAGGTTGACCGGCAAGATTTTTAGCGAATTCCTCGGAATCACTGCTTAAATCATTAACTTCCATTTCGTTTATTTGGATATATGCGATTTTTTAGTGTTTGCGTTAATTTGTTTGAAAATAAGTAAATTTTATGTTATTAAGAAACTGCTCTCTGAGCTGTAATAAAGTCTGATGTTTGCCTTAAAGCTAATTAGATTGCTAAGTATGGAAATCCAAATCTCCAAATCCCGTCTAAAAACAAAACCAGGCTAAATTTATAAATCGGCTGTGAAAGACTTCCACCTTGACTTCGTAACTTTGCACTTCCGGATTGCGACCGAAATAGATTTGTTTCGAGTGTGAGTTAGATAGAATAAGCTAATGAAAACTAATCACGGATATAAATAATACACCTTGCATTCAATTAAATATGTAATAGTGTGTAGAACGATTTTTAAAGGTTTAACATTTGAAAAACGAACATGTCGAAGACCCTAAACTGAGCTAGAATTGAGAGAACTAAATAGTCTGGCAACGCTGTTAGGCAAGGCTGCCAGAAAATGAGCCGCAATACTTCTTGCTGCCATTCCATGCCGAATTTTCGTATTATCCAAGAATAGTTTTTGTACACTTCCGGTGAAAAGAACGTCTGGCCAGCGCTCATGTTGCCCCAATGCCAGGGCTATAAATAAAAGTCCCTCGGCGCAGCAGATAGAGAGAGAGAGAGCAAAGGGCTGGCGACCCGGTTTTCGCTTGCTTGTGCGGGGTTGGGGGGCTGGTTGCCTGGGCCTGGGCCTGGGCTGCCGCAGTGTCTGGCGTTGGCTGCCTGCTGCACATTGCTGCTGGCCTGTTGCAATTTCTAATCGAATCGAAACCTTTTACCCAAATGTTGCCTACGGCCGGGTCGCTAAGTTGGAGATGGCCCTTTGTTAGCTAAAAAAGTATCATGATCCATTTATGTATGTATGCATGTGTGTGTGTGTGTGTGTGCAGGGCTCGCAATTATGATTATTTACGTGGTGTGTGTGCGAGCGTGCCACATGCAACACACAGCCTGCAACATGCTTATTTGTTGCCTACTATCAATGCTGTTCGCCCGTTCGAATTTGTTCTGTTAAAATCTGTGCGCTGCCTTGACAGTGCCGCAAAATGTTGCACAGCAGCAGCAGCAGCAAACACCATTGTGTATGTTTTCATATAGCTATCTCGCTCTCACGCGAGCCCTTTGCAAGCGCGTGTATCGAAAGACAAACTCTGCCTGCTGCAGGCCAACATGCGCCACCCTCTCGTCCCGCCTCCCTCGTCCAACACTCAACATAACCCGACACTTTGCTATGCCAGCTGCCAGCTGCCAGCTGCTAGGGCGAGGGATATACACACACACACACAGACTCACACACAGACTCACACACATGCAAGCAAGCATGCATATGTATGCATGTATATGTTAATGCTGCGGCTGGCTATGTTGCTGTCCCTCACATACATACGTACGTGTGTCGTATTCTGTTCTGTTCTTTTCTGTTGCTAGTTCTGTTTGTGATTGTGCTGCTGCCGCCGCTGCTGCTGCTGCTGCTGGTCGCCTGTTCGAGCGCACCATCGAAATTTCACATGTAATTCCCACGGCCTGAATTTTCCCACACAAAGCGAAGAAGAGGAAGCGAAATTCAACAACAAAGCGACATACGGGCGATTGGGACAGACAAGAGCAGCACACAACACACACACACACACACACACACATGAACACAACACAGACAGCACTTTTTTTATTGCATTCAATGTGGTCCCAGGGTCGCTGGTCGCTAATCGGCTCGTCTCCTTCTTCACACATACACACACAAGCACACACACACACACGCGCGTATATTGTTTCGTTATTTCGTTTTGACATTTTTTTCTTTGAGCCGCATTTTTGTTTCAACAGGGATGCAAGCGCAGATATGTATATGTATGTATGTAAATTTAAATTCCATACATACATACATTATGTTTTAATAATACATTTCCATTTAAAACTCTTGACAATTTCTAATTGGATGAACCAATATATTATGTTCCTAACACAACTGCGACCTGTTTTGGAACTAAACTGGTTCCATTCTGGAATCCCTATTTTTGAATTACCATTAAGCGAACCTACATAAATGAATATATTTCATATTATGGAAACTAATTTAAATTATTATTTTGTTTTAAACTTATTTTAAATTTCAATATAAATATTGCAGTATTTAAAACTAGAAAAATATGTAACTCTTCATTTTTCGTTTTGAAATATCACATAACTTTCTGAGGGAACGACCTTCTGTTGCAATTTTAGGCACAGTGGTTCGAGCACTTTTGAAAAAGTGCATAAATTAAAACCTTAAACACTCTTGAAAATTATTTAAATATATTTAACTGACTCGTAGCCAAGCACTTTTCTTGACATTTGCTTGATTGTGCATTAATAAAAGTAATTCAAATATTTATCAGCCCACTGTCACTCACAAATGTCAGTCAACTTTGAGGTTATGCAAGCATAGCCACCACTCCCTTGGCCTTGAGTGCACTTCTAATGGCCCGTGAACCTGCGCGCTGCTCAACACTGAACAGATCAAATGTAGTGCTCAAAGGCAAGGGACGACAGAGGAGGGGTAATGGTATAAGGGCTGAGGTAGAGCAGAGGATTCATGTCGCCTTGGTTATATAGCATAGCAGTCATTCCAGTTATTTTGAAGGCATTGACTGCAACGCCAGCTCCGGCTACTGCACTCCTGGTTCATCAATATGTTCAAGGATTTTTTCGTGCTTCCAGGCATGTCTGTCTGTCCGTGTGTGTGTGTGTGTGTGTGTGTGCATGATGGCTTCAGTTTGGCAGCTGACTTGAAGAGTCATGAGCGAAACACATGCGTATTTGAGTGCCTCTCGGTTTTTGGGGTTGGGCGGGTTTTATGAGTTGGGAATCTTTTATTTTTGGCAATTTCGGGCATGTGCGCTACATTTGCTGTTAGCCTGTGGCCCTAACTCGGCAGGAGTAACAAAAAATGCGCTTAACGAGTAACATGCACACTCAGACATATGAAACACACACACATACACAGACACTTGTGATTTATTTAGCTCCAAAACAAAGCTCAATTTCAAATCAGAAAAGTCAAAGTCATTGATAGCTTGCTCAAACAAAAGCTCAAATTTCATATCACTCAGCGGAAAGTACACAGCTGTTTTCGGCACGCCGAATACTAAATACCCTTTATTGACATGTGGCCCATTGAGTAATAAATATGTAGATAATATTTATTATTTAATGGATGTGGCTTAAGAGCGCTTTTGTACAAGAACTTTATTGGCGTAATATACTGTCATAAGCCGAGTCGTCTTCTTCTATGCCCAATAGATTCCTTTACAAATTTATAATACCCTCCGTTAGGGTATATTGAAAAGCTCATTTTTAAGCCAAGTGGCTTTGACTTCTCAAATCGCCGGCGAGTGTAACTGACACTCTCCACCATTTGGCGCCATTTCCCAACGGCGAAGCTTTTGGTAAACAAACTTTTTGCCTACCCACACACGATATACACTCACACACACACACACATGGGCAATTCACACTCATTTAAACGCAACGAAATGAAACGGCGAACGGGCCGCCGAGTGAATGTCACGGCGAGAAATCTCTCAAAGCTGCCTGCTACACACGCTGAACGCCTGTTCATTAGAGTCCATGAATTGAAATTGTGTGCAACGATGACGGCGGCCGCATGTCGAAAAAAAAAACAAAAACAAAACAAAAGAAACCAAAAAGATGGTGGCTTGGGAATGGCGGTTGTTATGTATTTGGGTGGTGCGCGGCGGTTCAAGAGTTCAATTACTTGCGTGTGAGTGTAAGCAGCCGCTAATGGCGCTTAAAATCCATGTGTGACTCAGAGTTGAGTGCGCCGCAGTCTGGCTCTGGAGCTGTAGCTGGAGCTGGGCTTGGGCAAGTCTATGGGTCGACTCCACGTTCCCGTCAATTCAATTTGCGCGCAATTTGCTTGCGCTTCCAAGTAAGCAAAAAAAAAATAATATACAGAAACAGTAAATAAACTAGAGCAATGAGCAGCATCATTTAGATTTAGACCGGAATAGTAACAGGCGCGCAGCGTGGCTTTGCAAGCGTTCCGTAGGTACAGTTTTTTGTTGCCGTTGGAAGTTGAGTTCATGCGCGTCTCGCTCTATGTCGCTCTAGCTGTCCCGCTCGCACGCCTTCTGCTTTTACTGCGAGCTTTACGCTGTTGCGTTTGCCGCGAGTTTTAAAATTGAGCTTTTTATTGAACGAAAACTTGTTTTTAAGACTTAAATCTAATATTAATATAATTAATATAATATAATTATATTAATTACGAATGCTTAAGACATTGTTTCAATAAAGTCAATTGTCGCTTTGTAGCTATAATAAATATTGTACTCGTTCTTGGTATTTTTAAGTATTTTTTGGTATTTTCCACTTGCAGTCAAACAGGACAAGGACCCGGAGCAGAACTCACAAATGCAACTTGGCATATTTTAATAAAACATTTCAATTAATAAAGCAATTTCTTTGCGCATAAATAAAAGCTGCTGCCACAGCGTTGCCATCTAATGGAAGGGAAACAGTGCTGCCACACTTGTCGAAAGACTTGACTGGGTCTGCCAGCCTGTTTCAAAAACGTTGGCGCGCAGCTTAAATTATGCTTTGTTGTGCACAGCTGCTGTGCATGCTGCGCTTAATTGCAGTTTATGGCATAAAAATTGAGCGAGGGCTCAACAACAAAGTGTAATTTAATTGCCAAAGCAGCAGCCACAACGTTGGCCGCGATGATGAATGAATGCAATTTGTATTTAATCAATAAGCACGCCCCGCCGTGTTTTAAATCAGCGCGCAGTGCCGCTTTACGGCTTAGCGCCAGTATCCGCATCTCTCTCTCTCTCTCTCCCTCTCTCTCTCACTCTCTCTTGCTGTTGCTTCTCAGTGGACGCATCCGTCCAGAGTTAGGCAATTTTAATTGGATTTGCATTCGCAGTTCGCTGCTCGATACCCGTTTCCACACACACACACACACACACACACACAGCTCTTGGCCCTCTCAGCCCTTTGCTTGGCCATCTTACGCCTCTGGCCTGAAACATAAATTTATTTTTAATTTACTTATGTATGCGCGAATTTGCGAGGCTGCCCTC